ACTGTCTTTCAAAATCAAACCCTGGCCCTGATTGGCGTGGCTCAGTAGGTTGGAGCGTTGTCCTGTAGCTGAAATGTTGTGGGGCTGCTTCAATTCCTGTTCAGGGTAGGTGCCTGAGTTGCAGGTTTGAGCCCCAGTCCAGGCGTGTATGGGAGTCAACCAACTGATGCTTCTTTGTAGCATTAATGTTTCTCTCTCTCTCCCTTCCTCACTCTCTAAAAAAAGCAATGAAAAAATTGTCCTCTGGTAAGGATTTAAAAAAAAAAATCAAACTCTTGATTTGCTCAAATTTACTCAAAACAAATACTTTTTAAAAACCTTTCTAATCTAACCCAAATGGCACTTGGTACACCAATCATCTCAGCAAGCTTGGGGTTTGAATAAGGTAGTAGTGATTACCTCTACTTTCTTAAAATAATTTTTCAGTTGAAGAGAAATATAAAAATGCCTAAGATGTTGGTTTTAGTTAAATTAGAGTTTCTAAACTCTGGTCTGTTTATTTTAATGAGTGAATAATTTCTAAATGACTTGGCAGAAAAGGATTTTTTTCTATTTTGCAAATCTATTCACACACACAAAATCCTGAATCTGAAATAAATTTCCTTTGCCTGACTCTGCTTCAATTAATTTTGGAAAACAAAAATACTTTACCTAAATTGAGGTTCCAAGGGAGCTGCAATATTAACCTAAGATAGTAAATCAATTCATTCCTTTCATTTATGGTTTGTCTGGCTGACTCTCTTGGGTTATTTACATTCCCCAAGAACCTACTTTTGCATGGGGAAAAAGAGTCTCCACTTTGAGCCATATATTGGGTTGGCCAAAAGTTTGCTTATATTTGTTTCGTATGATGGCTCTAGTAATGCTTAGTTGTCTTTAACTTCATTCAAGACATTTTGTTAAATTGTATCGTGACAGCTGTCATATCAGCATGCACTTAAAAAAAGTATCAAAATAGGTGAATTTTTGTATAGCCATTTATTGAAGGTAGAAGAAAATCTACAACATTTTTAGCATATTATGCTTTATTATTTCAAGCAAGGTAAAAACCCAACTGAAACACAAAAAAAGATTTGTGCAGTATATGGAGAAGATGCTGTGACTGACTGACAGGTCAAAAGTGGTTTGCAAGGTTTTGTGCTGGAGATTTCTTGCTGAATGATGCTCCACAGTTTTGTAGACCATTTGTAGTTGACGGCGATCAAATCTGGACATTAACTGAGAGGCACAGATGTTATACCACTCAGGAGACAGACAACATACTCAAAATATTCAAATCATGAAGTTATTGGTGAAAATGAAAAACGTGTTTTATTTTATGGAAAAAAATGTAATGGACTTTTTGGCCAATCCAATACCATTATTTAATGGTGGTTATTTCTGCATGGTAGAAATAGAGATGATATTTTTCTCTATTCTTTTTTAAAAAGATTTTATTTATTTATTTTTAGACAGAGAGGAAGAAAGGGAGAAAGAGGGAGAGAAACATCAATGTGTGATTGCCTCTCACGCACCCCCTACTGGGGACCTGGCCTTCACCCAGACATGTACCCTGACTGGGAATCGAACCTGCGACCTTTGATTCGCAGGCCAGCACTCAACCACTGAGCCACACCAGTCAGGGCTCTCTATTCTTTGTGGGGTTTTTTGGTCCCAGAGATTCTAGAGGCTATTTTCCAGGACTCTCCATGATCTAGGGCTATCTAATATGGATAACTAGCCCCCTTGAACTCAATGTGGTTATTTTAGCAAGGCAGGAATTACCACTGTGGTTTGCTCAGCCATCTATAGAGATTTAAGAAAAACACCTGCTTAAACCTGTCAGCTGCCTCTCATAGCACTTGGAATAAAATTCAAATTCCTTAGCTTGCTCTCCAAACTAAGGGTTATGCCCACCTTCCTCACCTCAATTCCTTCTACTGAACCCCTTTACTCACGGACCCAGCCAACTGGCCAAGCTCATTCCTTCCTAAAAGTCTTCATTTATATGTTTGTTTATATAATTTTTAAATTGAATTCATTGGGGAGACATTGGTTATTAAAATTATATAGGTTTCAGGTGTACAATTCTATAATACATCATCTGTATATTGTATTGTGTGTTCAACATCCCAAGTCTGAATTCTTTTCAACCTAAGAATCTTTAAACGTTCCCTCTGCTTGGATCTCTTTCCCCCCAAAGCTTCCTATGAATGGCTCCTTCAGGACATTCAATAACTGGCTCAAAAATGTCACCTCCTCACAGAAGCCTTCATAACCACTGATTCTGACTTAGCTGCTTCTTCCCCAACCTCATGTCAATTTTATGACAATAACCTGTTTTACTTTCTTCATAGCTCTTATCACCATAGAAATTCGTTTTTAACTTATTGTCGGTCCTACCTACCCCCCCCCCCAAGATTACAAGCTGCCTGAGATGTAAGAACTTTGCCTGTCTTGTTCACTACTAATTTCACTGCGTGCACTAAGGTGCTGTTAAAACCTACACTGTTGAGCTATTAGAAACAACAGTCCAAACCACAACCACAGCAAACTCCAATCCCAGCAAAGATTCCAGCTCTTCAGATCCTGGAAGCTGCTTTGGGAAATTACTGCTAGCTCCTTTGGCTAGCAGAGGTTTTTTTGTTTTTAATTAATCCTCACCCAAGGACATTTTTTCATTGCTTTTAGAGAGAGAGCAAGGGAGAGAGGAAGGGAGAGAGAAACATTAATTTGAGAGAGAAGCACTGATTGACTCCCATATGCACCCAGAGTGGGGATAGAACCCACAACCTAGGTTATATGCCCTACCAGAAACCACAACCTTTCAGTTCTGGGACAATGCTCCAACAGAGCCACACCAGCCAGGGCTGACTAGCAGAGTATGAGTTAAGCTTGGACGCATCCTTACCTACATTTAAAATGAATTAATATGAGCTAGCCCAAATGACTACCTAACATGGACCATGCCAAGAACTGTATATGCTATCTCACTGAAAAACCACAACCACTTTGCAAGATGGTATTACGTTTCACAGAATAATTTTCCCAAGTGCATATAATGACTGAATGTGGAGCTATACCAAGCTGGTGCCCAGGTAAAGTGTTTAGCTGGAAGAAATGCTACCCAAGCAGGTAACAGTTCTGTCAGATTAAGATTTTAAACTTTTGAATTGCCACATATTCAGAATACATTCCTTCTGGCTAGAATACCACCCCCACTCTCACAGCCCCTTGCTGAATTACCAACCTTAAAGTCACAGATCAACTCTTTCAGAGAGCATTTCTCAACACTATCTTCAGTCACACCTGATTACTCCTTTGGAAGCCACAAAGCCCTGTATCTTCTCCCATGATATCATGCTCTGCCTTGGATATTTTTGTAAATGTCAACACTATTATACTTTAAGCTCCTCCAAGAAATCTCAATCTTCCATGTCACCTAATTTGTGTATACCACCCAGCTGGTACTTTGAAAATATTCAATGTTGCACCTCTGCTGGTTACCTAGTCTACTCTATTACCTAGTTATTTCATGAATCCCTCCACAGCACACATTTTGCAATTAACATTTATTGAGCACTTAGTATATGTGGGGTGAGACAAGAGAGAATAGAGCAAAAATAAGATGCTTTCTTGAAGCTTAAATTCTAGTAAAATGGGCAATCAAAAAGGAAGGAACTAAATCAACAAGATCATTGAGGTAGCAATGATCTACCTCATTGCTGGACCTACCTGACTTTGGCTGGATCTACAGCCAAATCAAGTAGGGATTTGTAGGCTATGATGAGGAATTTGGAAATTATGTCAAAAGCAATGGGAAATCACAGAAGTTTGAAGTAGGAGCATGTTATGATCTGATTTTTTTTTTAAGATCATCACTTGGGTTGCTGGGTGAACTACTTATTGCAGGGGGAAGAATGGGAGGAGTAGGGAGACCAGTAAAGGGGCAACTGTGGTCGTTCAACTAACAAAGTGATGGCTTGGACAGGGGCGGGGGGTCATGGGGATAAATAGATATGAAGAAATGAGATGTAGCTCTGAGGTTGAAGTGATAGGACTTGCTGACGGACTGGATGCTTGGGTTTAAGGAAAAGGAGGTGTTTGCTTTAACTAGTGGGTGAAGGGATCATTTATTGAGATGGGAAAAAGTGGAGAAGAGGCAAGTTGAAAGGGGAACACCAAGAGTTTTGCTTTGCCCATGACAAACATAAGAAGCCTATCTAATATCCACGTAAAGTCATGTTGGATCCAAATCTGAAACTATGGGGTGAACTTTAGCTGACGATATTATTCCGGGAGTGAGCACAATAACAGCACTGATTGTTCTGGTCCGCTGTCTCCTGGGGACACAAATAGCTGCAAATGTCTTTTCTATTCAGCCCTCCGCATCTACCAGGAGGTTGGGCTTTATATTGAGGGCAACAAAGACCAGAAAAGAGGATACGCAGGGAAAGTTCGTGGTTAGTTTCGTGGGTTTCACTGGAACCGCTCAGAAAGCATCATTCCCTGCCTGACGACAAGAGGCAGAGCGACGTCGGGGAGGACCCGGAAGCAGCATAAACACCAGCCTCAGGTAACGTCCCGTGCTTGGCAGAGATGCGCGCAGCCTCAGCCGCGCATCCCCACGGGGTCGAACTCCCCGCTCCCCGAACCCTGGGCCTGCTGCCGGATCTCCTTCAGCGTCTCCCCCTAAGCCCAGTTGGGCTTCGCTCTCACCTGCCTCATTTTCTTCACGCCGGGCCGTGCTCCTACCCTTGGCCTTTTGGCTGCGCGGTTCGTGTCCCCGCAACTCCTTGCAGACGGCCCGCTTCCGAGCCATCTTGCCCGGGCAAAACTACTTTTTGTTGTGACGCAGGAGGCTGCGGGAAGCTGCTTGAAGTCCGGCTACGCCCTCCAGGTGGAAAGATGCCTAACCACGCCCTGTCTGTTATATAACAAGCCACGCCCCAAACTAAGCCCCCGCCCCTAACAAGCAATGCAAATTGCTAGACTCAAGAAGGGGCAAAACAGACTTTTACTTCCGGTGCATGACGTTCTGGCGCTTTCGGAGTTTGGAGAGGCTCGAGTGATAACGCGAGAGTCGGGAAAGGGCGCAGGGTTTGAAACATGGCGGACGACGTGGATCAGGTATGTGTTTCTGAAGAATCTCGCGGAGTAGTGACATCCTCACGCCCCGCTGGCTCTGTTGGGTTTTGCATACTAGGGCTGCTTTCTTAAGTTCATAGTTCATAGAAAGGTAGTTATGCCGCTTGTCTCTGGGTCGTTGTGGTCTGGAATTGTGCCTCAGGCCGTGAAGTCTTGTTAGAAGTCCGCCTGAAAACTAGTTTCTCCTCCCTCTTTTTCTCTTCTCTGAGTTTCACCTTTATCTATAGCATGGGAAATTCTCCATGCGTGCCTCACGGAACTGTGGGATTCTAATAGCATGATAACAAAGTTAAGGAGTTTTATCATTACTGAGTGCAACAATTGTTACTCCAACAGATACTTGGTGAACATCAGCTTTGAATGGTTAGAGACGGTTTTAAACACTAGGAACCCTGACATTGACCCCACTTGGAGCTCGTACTGTGGCTCGTACAGATAAAAAGTAAACGCAAATATGTGCGATATGTAGGAACTGTGATGTGGTATGAAGGAAACAAACAAGGAACTGGTTTACAGAACTGATAGTCTTACAGGCTTTCTCACCTACTCTTCCTCCTTCCCAGCATACTGTTCCTCAGGTTGTGGATCCTGGGTGCACCAGGCCATAACTTGGACTGAAATCTCACCTCATCAGAGAGGACTTCTTTGGCCTCCTACATAAAATAGAACTCTCCCCAGTCCTTTTTTAAAATTTCATAACATGTTATTTGTTCATATTAAGTGCAAGCTTTGTTTAATGTCTATCTCCTGCTCCTGCCTCCCAGAATGTGTATTTCTTAAAGAGCAGGAGTTTTGTGCACTGTTCTGCCCTTGGGATTTAGAACAGGGCTGGAAACACCCTGCACATTTATTGAGTGCATAAATTGGCTGATCAGGGAGGCCTCTTTGAAAAGGAAATATTTAAAGCTACAGGTTGAAAAGGGTAGACAGTGGGCATCACAAACTGAAGCTAAAGGAGCAGTAGGCCTCTGTCATGTGTATATTCTTATAGTGTTATAATTTTTTAGATGCCTCCCTGGACTAGAATGAAGCTTGAGGGCAGGGAGTGACTTCTGTATCATTGTATCCTAGTTGGTTAGTTGGTCCTTAACAAACACCGGTTGAACTCGGGATGGGGACCAGTTGAGTCCAGTATTTTTTCTCCTCTCATTTAGCCTTTTAAGGCTGTAGAGCCTGTAATGTTCAGTCACCTTCCTCCATTGGCTTCCCGTACTCACAATTTTATCAACTCTCCTGCCTTCAACCATCCCATCCACATGGATGACCCCAAGTCATCCTGGACCTGATCTCTTTTGACACCTGTTTCCAAATATTCTTTAATATAAACAATGACTATCATTTATACATACTCTTTGCCTGATACCATTTTAAATACATTAAATATGTTAGTTAATTTAATCCTGAAAATCATGAAGGGAAGATTGTGGCTTCTTCATTTTATAGCCAAGAAAACTAAGAACTAGAGATGGCATAATTTTTAATCTCGATTCATAAGTGTCAGAGTCAGGAGTTGCCCTCTTGTTGCCTGACTCCAAAACCAGTGCTCTCAGCATCCATTCTATACAGCCTGGTGAATATATTTCTCTTACTGGCCATTTGGCACCCGAAAGTCGGCTTGCCCTGTACTGAATTCATCATAATCTTCCCTCAAACTTCCATTTCTGCTTAGCATTCTGACAAGTGTATAGTAATCATTAAGTGAATATTTTTCAAATTACTAAATGATGTTAGAGATAAGGCTAACATCCCTGACAGCAACTCCCTATACCCTGAAATTGGGTCAGGAAGTTTGGATTTTCAGGGAACCAAGTACAGTCATTATATTGCTGTATAACTGCTTCCTCTGTGTGTATGTTTCAGCCCTCATCTGTATAGCATTTACTTTGTGCTACTCTTCTAAGTCTTCATATATCGTTTAAGCCTCACAACAAGCAGTATTAGTTGTGTACTATTGTAATCCACGTTTTACAAACTATGAGACTACTGCACAGAGGTGTTAGGTTATTTGCCCAGTCACACAGCATAGCATTGATTTGAGCACTACATTCTCTTTAGTAATTATATTACTAATCCTGTTTCTTTTATCAGCAACAAACTACCAACACCGTAGAAGAGCCCCTGGATCTTATCAGGCTCAGCCTGGATGAGCGAATTTATGTGAAAATGAGAAATGACAGAGAGCTTCGAGGTAGATTACATGTAAGTAAATTACCTTGAAATCAGATTATTTTCATGTCATCTCTCCCTGCTCTTATGCCCTTCAAATGTAAAAAATGTCCACTGTGGAAGAGCATTTTGAATGTAGAAGATAGAGAGGTGGAAGGTCACCTGTATTTCTGTAAGTCAAATAAGACAAATTTATTCATATTTTTCACATTTTTTCCTAACAGAAATTTGAATTTATTCTTTCATTTTTTACTTCTTTTTGCAAATAACGTTTCTCCATTCTTACTTAAATGTTCTTTAAATTACTGACATAACATAAATTTGTGTTTTCTTGTGAAAAAATTTAAACAGTGTAGAGGTACATAGAGTAAAAGGTGAAATCCCATTTCTTCTGTTGATAACCACTATTAAAAACTGGGTCTCTGGTTTTTCAGATCTTTTTTGTATAACCACATGTATATGTTTATATTTATGTCCATATGTATAATGTGCACTTTTAGAGATGGTATATACACCATCTCTAAAAGAATGGGATCTTGCTATAAGTATTTTTGAGCATCTTTCTCTTTTACTTAATCTTCCTTGGAAGTTATTGATCATGAGTACATAGAAATTCTTATTGTTTTTAATGCTTACTGGAGTTTTTTAATTTAATTTAAATCATTTTTTATGTCTCAGTTACTGTTGACATACAACATTAGTTTCAGATGTATGCTATATGTAGTTATTAGAATATTATTGACTATATGCCATACTTTAATCCCTGTGATTATTTTGTAACAACCAATTTGTACTTCTTAATCTTGTCACCTTTTCCATCCATCCCCCATATTGTGACTCTCATAATGTTCTCTGTATATGTCTGTTTCTGTTCTGCTTCTTTATTTTGTTCTTTTAGATTTATTTGTTGACAGATAAGATTTAGATTCATGTGCTGCCATTTTATTGTTCATATTTTTTATATCATTTTTTCTTCTTAAAGAAGACTCTAACATTTCATATACTGGTTTGGTAGTGATGAACTCCTTTAATTTTCCTATCTGGGAAGTGCTTTATCTAAAATGATAGTTTTGCTGGGTAGAGTAATCCTGGTTGTACATCCTTGCTTTTCATCATTTTGAATCCTTCTGGCCTGCAAAGTTTTTATTGAGAAATCAGCTGATAGTCTTATGGGGGCTCCCTTGTAGGTAACTAACTGCTTTTCTGTTGTTGCTTATAAGATTCTCTCTTTGTCTTTAACTTTCATGTTTTAATTATGATGTGTTTTGGTGTGGGTCTCTTTGGGTTTGTCTTGTTTGGGACTCTGCACTTCTGGACTTGGATGGCTATTTTCTTCATCAGGTTAGGAAAGTTTTTTTGTCACTATTTTTTTCAAATGGGTTTTCAACTTCTTGCTCTCTCTCTTCTCCTTCAGGTATGACATTGATGTTACTGTTTGTATGCATGAAATTGTCCCAGAGACTCTTTACACTGTCTTCATTTTGGGGAGTTCTTTTTTTTTGCTCTTTTGTTTGGATGTTTTTTTGCTTCCTTATGTAACAAATCACTGATTTGATTCTCAGCTTCATCTACTCTACTATTGATGTCCTGTAAATTATTCTTCACTTCAGGTAGTATAACCTTCATTTCTGACTGATTCTTTTTCATGTTCTTTTTTACGCTACTAAAGTTCTGAGTTCAACTACTTTTCCCCTAAGTTCATTGAGCGTCCATATAACCGGTGTTTTGAACTCCGCATCTAGTAGATTGCTTGTCTCTGTTTCATTTAGTTCTTTTTCTGGAGTTTGTTCTGTTCTTCCGTTTGGGCATGTTTCATCGTCTCCTCACCTTGGAAGCCTCTGTGTGTTTGGTTCTATGTATCAGGTAGAGCTGCTGTGTCTCCAGGGCTTGATAGAGTGGCCTAATGTAGGTGTCTGTAGGGTCCAGTGACACAGCCTCCCCAATAACCCAAACTGGGCATGCTAGTTGCGTTCTTCCAACCCCCCTGGGGTGGACTGTATACCCCTTCTTGTTGTAGTTGAGCCTTGATCGATGTTGGCACGTCAGTGGGATTTACCCCCAGGCTGATTGTGAGGACTGGGTGGAAGGGTCTGCCCCACAGAGCAGGACTTAGTTTAGCAGGGCTATGGTCCCTGCTGAGTCTTCCCTGTGAGTGTATCACTGCGAGGGTGGTGGGTGGTATTTCAACATGATCTGAAGCTGTCCACAGGGAGTGCTGGCGCTGGCACCTCCTGGGAGGGTCAGGTGAAGGTCCACAGCCACCTGTGTTCCACCTGGGGCCATGCGGCTTACGCTGCATAGTGATCTGCAGCTGACTGCTACCTGTGCTGGGCTGGCAGGAGAGGCCAAACTGCAAACCATTGCCAGCTGCTGCTAGTGCCAAGCCTGGAGCCACTTAGTGAGAGATACAAGGCAGCTGAGGCCAGATGTCACTTGTTTGAGAGATTTTAGGAAAGTCTAAAGCATGAACCAAGACAGGCCATTTGTATGGAAAAGGCACTGAAAATAGCTTGGGTGAGCCCCCAAGTTTGGTGGGGCGAGGTCTCAGGGAATGAACAGGGTGGGGCAAACAGTTTTAGGCAGATTGATGGAGTCTCAGATATGGCAACTGGGGTTTGATGGCACCTGGAGGGTACCATAGCTGGCTCTGGGGGGAATGCTCATCAAATGGCCTCTACCAGCACTTTTGTCTGGTAGAAAGCTGCCCTCCCCAACTCTCACTCTTATGCCAAGTACTTCAGTTCTTCCCCATATGTTCTTGGTGCCTTTCAATCCACTGTACCAGTGCCGGAGCTCAGAAAAAACAGTGAGTCAGGTAACTTTGTCTGTGGGCCCTTTAAGAGGAATTGCCCAGGACTCCAGAAGCCTTTGTCTCACTCAGGTTTACTTTCTGCTGGTTGTTACAGTCAGAAGTTAGGAGAACTTCTCTTACTAGCACTAGAACCCTGGGCTTGGGGGTCTGGTGTGGGTCTGGAACCCTTTGCTCCTCTCCTCGGGGGGACATCTGCAACCAACATATCCCTTCTGTTTTTTTGCTGCCACTCGTGGGTGTGGGGACAGCCCCCTCCCTCAGCATCTCCGCCCCTCCAATCCATCTCCATGTGGCTTCTTCTTTAATTTCCTAGTTGTAGGACTTCTATTTAGCTAGATTTCAGGCGGATCCGAATGATGGTTGTTCGGTAGTTTAATTGTGATCTTGATGTGGTGGGAGGATGCGAGTGCCACGTTTACCTATGCTGTCATCTTGACCAGAAGTTACGTGGAATTCTTTATATGGCACTAGTGATATTTAGATTGTTTTCCATTTTTTGCTACTATAAGTAATGCTGCAATAAGCATTTTTGTACATTTTTGGGGTGTGTATCTGCATATATTTTTATATGATTGGTGCCTTGAAGTGGACCCATTTATGCAGAGAGAAACTAAAGGTTTTGCCTCTTGTTGATAACATGTCACTTTCCAGATTGCATTGTTTTTATTACTGCCACTCTACCCTAAAGTGATTAAAAATAGCTAAAATTTATTGAGCATTAATTATTCCAAATGTTTTATATATAATACATATCCCATTCAATCTTTATAACAACCTGTGAGGTCAGATACTAAATATCCCAGTTTTGTAGTTGAAGAAATTCAGGCTCAAAAAGGTGAAGTTCCTTGCATGAGGTGACACAGTCAGTAAATTACGAACCCAGGCAGTCCGGCTTCAGCCTCACTCTTAACTACTGTGATTCCACCTCCCATAAAACCTAAAGGTAAAGAACCTGCTATTCTTGGAAAAGAAGTAAGGACCTAGGGAGACATTAGTCTTAATATACAGCTAGCCTTAGGGGAAGAGGAATGCCAGGAAATGAAACAGTAGCAACTTTGCCAAGAAAAACAGAATTGAGCTTAATCACCTGTGCCAGTCAGTGGCACATGGAGAGATACTCTGGGATAGACATACTGCCTTAACTCTTTGAGGCTTCTTTAGTTCCCTATGTAGAAATTTCATTTGCCTCTATACTAAACAGCCCCCCAAACTTTTGTTTTTCTGGCCCTAATCTGTAGATTTTTGCTCTTAGTGTGCTCTGCCTAGCAGTTCCCCATGTGGCCAATTGAATACTTTTATTTTGATGTGAGCTAGTAAACCATGTAACACTTTGTTAAAAGTAAGAGAAGTAAGTGGGTTCTGAATAAGCCCCCTGGAGGTTCACCTTTTATTAAAATACATGAGCTTTGAAGTTTAGATTGAGGACATCCCTGAATATTGTATTGCAGCATTTATTGGTTGAGCCCACAAGTGCCAAACACAGTTCTGGCTAGGTTATAAATGGGTGGAGTGTTGCTTTACTTACATTACCTTATGGTTTTTAGTTTAGGACAGGGAGGATTGAATAATGGTGTCCTATGCCTTTAGGAGACTATAATGCTATCATTTTAGCAATTAAAGTATTTTATTTCCACGCTGTTAGAGATGGAATTGAAAGAAGCCTATCTCTGGCAAGTGTGGCTCAGTTGGTTGGAGCATCATCCTGTAGACCAGAAAGTCATGGGTTCAGTTCAGTTCCTGGTCTAGGCACATACCCAGGTTGTGGGTTTGATCCCTGGTCAGGGTGCATATAAGAAGGCAAGCAATCATATTTTTTTCTCTTATATTGATATTTCTCCCTCCCTCTCCCCCTCCCTTTCTTTCTCTCTAAAAGCAATGAAAAAATCCTAGAATGAGGATTTTAAAAAAAAGTCTGATGAGTTTGCTATTTTTATAATAAATTATTATAAATGATGGAAGTGCCTTGGGTAAAAAGTAGGGTGAACCCTTTAAAAATAATTTCACATTATTTTAATTAAATTCATTTTTGGCCATTTAAACAGTTTTATATTTTTATCAGGTCTGTTCAGTTATTGTTGGAAATGATTTCTGACAAAACAGTATATTTATACACCAAGATTATTATTATTTTTAAGTATATGTTATTGATTATGCTATTATAGTTGTCCCAGTTGTTTTTTCCCCTTTATCCCCACCTCTGCCCTGTATCCCCAGCCATACTACAGCATTGCCCCCACACCTTAGTTTATGTCCGTGGCTGTTACATATAAGTTCTTTGGTTTCTCTATTTCCTATACTATGCTTAACCTCCCCCTGTCTATTTTATGCCTACCAATTATGCTTCTTATTTCCTGTACCTTTTCCTCCCATTCTCCCCCTCCTCCTTCTCACTGATACCCTCCATGTGATCTCCATTTCTGTGATTCTGTTTGTGTTCTAGTTGTTTGATTAGTTTTTGTTTTTGAGGTTCAGTTGTAGATAGTTGTGAGTTTGTTGTCATTTTACTCTTCATAGTTTTTTGTCTTATTTTATTTCTTAGATAATTCCCTTTAACATTTCATGTAATAAGGGCTTGGCGATGATGAACTCTTTTAACTTGACCTTATCTGGGATGTACTTTATCTGCCCTTCCATTATAATGATACTTTGCTGGATACAGTAACCTTGGTTGTAGGTTCTTGCCTTTCATGACTTGGAATACTTCTTTCCAGTCCCTTCTTGCCTGCAATGTTTCTTTTGAGAAATCAGCTGATAATCTTATGGGTACTTCTTTGTGGGTAACTTGTCTCCTTTCCTCTTGCTGCTTTTAAGATTCTCTCCCTATCTTGGGTAGTCTAATGATGATGTGCCTTGGTGTGTTCCTTTTTGGGACTCTCTGAGCTTCCTGGACTTCCTGGAAGTCTATTTTCTTTGCCAGGTTGGGAAAGTTTTTCTTTGTTATTTGTTCAGATAAGTTTTCAATTTCTTGCTCTTGTTCTTCTCTTTCTGGCACCCCTATGATTGGATGTCAGAGCACTTAAAGTTGTCCCAGAGGTTCTGTAGCCTCTCCTCATTTTTTTAAAAAAATTCTCCTTTCTTCATTCTGTTATGGTTGAATGTTTCCTTTTTCCTTCTGGTCCACACCATTGATTTGAGTCTCAGTTTCCTTCCTGTTACTGTTGGTTCCCTATATATTTTCCTTTATTTCACTTTGTGTAGTCTTTATTTCTTCCTTCATTTTGCGACCGAGCTCAATCATTTGTGAGCATCCTGATTACCAGTGTTCTGAACTCTGCATCAGATAGGTTGTCTTATCTCCTTGTCGCTTTGTTCTTCTTCTGGAGTTTTGATCTGTTCTTTTATTTGGGCCATATTTCTTTGTTTTGGCATGCCAGTCTGGATGAATATTTCTTTAACTCCTTGGTTGTTGGAGTTTCATGCAGTTTACCTTTCTGGAAGTTCTAGTTGTTTGTCGTTTTTAAATTGGTTGTTATTCTGCTTTTGGTTGTGCAAGAAAGTAAAGCATTTATATCTACACTTCCATCTTGGCTGGAACCCAAGATTATTTTTAATTTGCAAGTAAAAGTTTATGGTATTTGTTTTTCTTTTAATTGTCACTCAAGCACAGTTGTCTCCATTTTCTCCTGGCCCCACCCTCGATCCTATCCCGCTTTGGCTTTGTCCATGTGTCCTTTATACATGCTCCTTGATGGCTCTACCCCTTTTTCCCCCATTACCCTCTACCCCTCCCCTCTGGTTACTGTCAGTTTGTTCTTTATTTCAATGTCTCTGGTTATATTTTGCCTGTTTGTTTGTTTTATTGGTTAGGTTCCCCTTAGGTGAGAACCTAAGGTGAGATCGTATGGTATTTGTCTTGTGGTATGAGTACTATGTGTCACTTGTAATTGAGCCATTTGCATATTGTAAGCCCTGTTCCTTGTTTTTTAATTTTGTAATTTTTGGGTCCCTTACCCTCCCACTTCAGGCTTATGATCAACATTTAAATATGATATTGGGAGATGTGGAAGAAACTGTGACTACTATAGAAATTGATGAAGAAACATACGAAGAGATATATAAAGTAAGTCATGCAGTTCTACTTACTGTTTTTATTTATTTATTTATTTTTTACGTATTTAAAGCTTTTATTTATTTATTTTTAGAGGGGAAGGGAAGAAGAGCAGGAGAGAAACATCAGTGTATGGTGTCCTCTCATGCGTCCCCTGCTGGGAACTGGCCTGCAACCCAGGCATGTGCCCTGACTGAGAATCGAACTGTGATCCTCTGGTTCATAGGCCCAGGCTCAACCCACTGAGCTATACTAGCCAGGGCTACTTACTGTTTTTAAAATGCCAATTGTTCTTAATATCCAACAGCTTAACAATTATGGAAATCCTGTCATGTTTTAACACCTACTCATGGACTCAGTGGAGTGTAGCAATTAAAAGCAAAGTCTTTGGGGTCAGACAGACCTGGTTTCTAGCACTGGCTTGGCCACTTTCTACCTGGGGTATGCTGGGCAAGGGAATTAACTTCTCAGACTTAGTTTCCCCATTGGTAAGCAGGAATACCACCACTTAACCTCTGCTAAGGTTGTCAGGATTCAGTAAGATACGACAGTGTAAGATCCCCGTGTGTGTTGATATATAACAATAATACTGACAGTATTCTTTTGTTTGATGTGGATTTGATCTAGCAATACTCAATAGAAACTAAAACTGAGAAATTTTAAAATATTAACGCATTAAAAATAACCTATTATGTTAACAAAAGTAGCATTCTTATGAACAATAACTATATTTTCTAAAATAAAATATTTAGTGAGAAGTGTGTTTGTTTCACATTTTTGCAAATCTCTTTATTGTGTGGCTTAATTACATCTAGTTTCTCACATCTTTTTTTCTGCATTTAATGTGTTGTGATATGTTATAATTGAAGAAAATTCAACCTCACAGATAGTTGGCGGGTATTTTTTGTGGATACTTGCCTTTGGTGCCATCCTCAAACTCAAGAGTGCTGGTTTAAAGGTTAGTTGCAGTGTGGAATGTGAAACCATGTTATTGAACTTTTTGTACTTTTGTTATATGCAAATTCATTGGTCTGCCTTGCACCTCATATGGATCTTTTACACCTGTGTGATTTTATAACATCAAGCATCGGTCATTTGGAACATACTAGTTTACTGAGTTACGCAGATCTTTTAAATGTTGGCACATTTTATTCTTCAAATATATAAAAAAAACATATTTGTTGTTAAGTCTTTCAAGTATTGGGAAGCCAGTCTCTGGTCCTTCTAGAGCATAGTGGTTTAAACCTGGATTCAAATCTTGACTCCCTTGCTTCCCAGCTATATAGTTATACCAAATTACCCACTCGTCTGTGACTAAGTTTCCTGGTCTCTAAAGTGGGGGTGGTAATAGGACCCACTTAATACACAGCCTTCAGATTAGCAACAGATACATAGTAAGTGTTCAGGTGTTTGCCTTCATTGGTTTTGTAATTCTGCTTTATCATGGCTTTCCTCCTTCTTTAACCACCCCTGATTCCTTTGCTAGTTTTCTTTCTTTCTCTCTCTGAACATGGGCTTTATTTTTTTATTTGCACTTTTTTCCCTCAAAGATATTATTTAGTAACTTTTATTTTATAAGCCATGAGTACAGTACAGCATAAAAGCTTGGACTCTTAATAGATCTGGGTTGAAATCCTGGCTGCTAGTGATGAGTTACGTGAACTTGGGCAAGTTATAGGAACTTCCTAAGCCTTGGGGACCTCCTCTGTGAAATGCCGGTACCTGTGCATGCCTCCCAGGATGATACTAGGATGCACTGAGTTTGGTGCATGGAGAGCTGGCAGCATGTTGTGGTAGGTGGCCAATATAAGTATGGATAAACCCGACCAGTTTCTTTCCTTTTCCCAGCTTTGCTCTTATTTCCAACATTCTTATTGAAAATTCTGTTCTGTGGATGTTATCTCAAATCTAGTACATCTAAAACTAAACTGGTGTTCTTCACCTTCAAAAATTCCCTACTTCTGTTTATGATTTGCTCATTTATTTAGACCGTGAATCTCCAAATTTCCCTTTCACTCCCACAGGTCAGTAACTACTTCATTTGAGTCTTTGTTCATGTTAATACATGTCATCGCTTTCTTTTCTGTTACCATGACCCTGGCTCAGGCACTGTTCTTCGTGTGTACCTCCATTCTAGCCTGTGCATGACTGACTGCCACTAATTGTCCTTGAACATTGCTTTTATTTGTCACAGTCATGCTTAGAGACAGGCTTATTTAAGGCACTCTACGGCCTATAGAGCAGAGTGTAAGATCAGGCTAGGTTAAGGCCCTCCATAGTATGACTGTAGCTTCCCATTCTCCGTTCTGATGACTGTAGCCAAGTTGACTGCCTTCGGAGTGTGCCCTCTATCATTCTGCTTCTGTTTCTTCCCATAGCATTTTACCTAGCTGAACTGTCTTGTCTCTTCCCACAAAGCTTTTTCAAGAACCAGCTCATTCCTACCTCTTTTGTGATGCTTTCTCTGACCATCTAGATCTTCTTTCCTCCTTTGGTTGCATCTTCTTTGAGCTGAGAACTGATTTCACTTTTTCCTTTCTGTATTTTCATCTTGTCAACTATTTGATGGCAGAGACCAGGACATTATTTGTTCTGTTCCCCACAGTGCCTTGCTGTCTCTAGGCAATGAGTGTATGGTCAGGTTGTTGGAGGAGGACGGGGTAGGGAGGGAGTGGACATAACGAAGTGTAGTCCTAGAGAGGCACGGTATGTACTATTAAGTTGTACAGTTAACTGGGAAGTGGAAATAGTATCAGTAGATGAAAAATATTACATTTTAAGAGTTCATTTTAATCCAGTTTCAACTTCTGGTATATAACTTGCTAACTATTTTTATCAGGCTGTTAATATTTTGCTTTTTATTAATTTTATTGAGGATGTCTCTCTGTTTTCCAAGATTTGACAGCACTCTGGTTTGTAACAGTAAGTCAGTCTTTTTCCATATCTGCTTCTTCAACTGAAAAATGAGGGGACTGACAGTGAACTCTTAGCACTTAGATATGTAAAAATCTCTAGTTCTGAGTTCTCTACTAAATAATGTTAGGGGAAAACAGTCACACAAATTGAACTTGGAGGGAATACTTTGTGAAAACAAAAAAAGAAATATAAAGGTAGAGAGAAAATATTTACTTATTCAGGAAGAGAATAAAGAGGGGTAGGTGAAGGAAGTTAATATGTCTTGAATAACTGCTATATGCCAAAGCCTTGCGTGTTTTACCACATTTAATCTCCCAGTAACACTGAGGTCATTGATATTCCCATTTTCTGGCTGAATAAATTAAGTTCAGCTAGGAAGAAATATGGTAGGGATTTCAAACCTATGTCTAACTGGCTTCAAAGCCTGCAGGGCTCTTTGTATTAGGGGCTGGAACTCAAGAGTCATTGATGGAATTGGTGGACAGTGAAATCTCGACATTGGTAGAATAGCACTTAAGTTCTTGCTGAGCTAACACGGGTAGATTGAATACAAGAGATTATCACGTAAATCTCTAGGATCTGGCAGGCATGCTTGGTTCCTGCCACTCTGGGCTTTAAAATCTAATTTGTAAAGTGCCTAGCACACAGAAAAATTTCAGGTACCTCGAACATGAACAGTTAGGCAAAATATCTAAGGGAGTATGCACTGGATAGAAGAAAGTGTTCTACCATAACATAAACTCATTCTAATAGGAGACAGAGGGATGCATGTAAGGTTGGAGAACTACAACCTTTGCTGAATGACTGCTATATGTCAGGCACTGTGAAATCCATTTTATATGCATCCTATTTAATTCTAACAGCTCAGTGAACTAGGCCTGGGTTAAAGCTGTTCTGCACTGCTGTCCCTATGAAATTTGTATAGTATTTCCCAAACTTATATAACCATAGTACTTGGTTTAAGAATACACGTTGCTGCATAACAATTTATCCCCAAACTTAGTGACTTAAAAGCACACATTTATTAACTCACAGTTTCTGTGGGTCAGGTGTCTAGGCAGAGCTTAACTGGGTCCTTTGCTTCAGGGTCTCTTACGAGCTGCACAAATGTGAAGGCTCTGCTGAGGAGGATCTGCTTCCAAGCAGCTCACTTTCATGGTTGTTGGCAGGATTCAGCTCCATGAAGTTATTGGACTGAGAGCCTCAGTTCTTTGCCATGTGGGCCTCTACCACCATTTGGTAGCTTGCTTTGACAAACCCAGTGGAAGAATTGGCCAGCAAGATGGAAGTTACTGTCTATCATGATGGTGACATCTCATAGCTTTTGCAGTATTCCATTGGTTAGAAGCAAGGCACAAGTTTCACTCACACTCAAAGGGAGGTGGTTACACCAGGAGGCAGGGATCACTGGGGGCAATCACAGAAGCTGCTTACCTTGGAAAATGCTGCCATGTTCAGTTTTGTTCACTGGATCTCCAGAAAACTGTAATTGAATTAATGGAGAATCATTATGGAAGAAATGAATTCATATGAAGGTAAGGGATGGAACCTTTTTGTTTTATTTTAGATTTTTTACTTATTTATTTATTTCAGAGAGGGCAAGAGAGAGAGAAGAGAGGGAGAGAAACATCAGTGTGTAGTTGCCTCTTGCAGGCCCCCTACTGGGGACCTGGCCCACAACCCAGGCATGTGCCCTGACTGGGAATCAAACTGGTGAGGCTTTGGTTCACAGGATGGCACTCAGTCCACTGAGCCACACCAGTCAGAGCAAGAGAGAAGGAACTTTTTTGGCTCAGAAATATCACTTGAGTAAGGCTTTGAATGAAATATATCAGTTGTTTTGGGGAGCATAGACTCCTTCACTAAATTTACTGTCCTAGAACTAGATGCACTTGTTACAACTTTGAAGGAAACCAGAAGGAAGTTCTGTTACGTAATAGCAGAAAGCAGACCTGTTGTATTTGTTTCTCCAAGGGTGATTGTTGAACCAGGACTATTGGCATCACCACTCGGTCAAGTATAAATACACATTCATGGCCCATATCCTGACCTACCCCATGAGGATCTCTAGGCATGGAGCCCAGGGAAACAAGCTG